AAAAAATGCTCCTTAATAATCAATGGATCAATGACTAAGTTAAAATAGAGATCAAGTAATATATGGAAACAAATGACAACAACAACACAAAGTCCCAACTTCTGTGGGATGCAACAAAAGCAGTTCTAAGAGGAAAGTATATAGCAATCCAGGCATATTTAAAAAAGGAAGAACAAAACCAAATGAATAGTCTATAGTCACAATTATCGAAATTGGAAAAAGAACAACAATAGAGGTCTAAAGTTAGCAGAAGAATGGATATAATAAAGATCAGAGAAGATATAAATAAAATTGAGAAGAATAAAACAATAGAAAAAATCAATGAAACCAAGAGCTGGTTCTTTGAGAAAATAAGCAAAATAGATAAACCCCTAGCCAGACTTATTAAGAGAAAAAGAGAATCAACACATCAACAGAATCAGAAACGAGAAAGGAAAAATCACGACAAACTCCACAGACATACAAAGCATTATTAGAGAATAGTATGAAAACCTAACCTATATGCTAACAAGCTGGAAAACCTAGGAGAAATGGACAACTTCCTAGAAAAATATAACCTTCCAAGACTGACCAAGGAAGAAACACAAAATCTAAAAAGACCAATTACCAGCAACGAAATTGAGGCAGTAATCAAAAATCTGGGCCAGATGGATTTACCGTGGAATTTTATCAGACATACAGAGAAGACATAATACCCATTCTCCTTAAAGTTTTCCACAAAATAGGAGAGGAGGGAATACTCCCAAACTCATTCTATGAAGCCAGCATCAGCATAATACCAAAACCAGGCAAAAGCCCACCAAAAAACAAAATTACAGACCAATAACCCTGATGATCATAGATGCAAAAATACTCAACAAAATATTAGCAAAGGGAATTAAAAAATACAACACGATGATCATACACCATGACCAACTTGGATTCATCTCAGGGATGCAAGGATGGTACAACATTCAAAAATCCATCAATATCATCCACCACAAATAAAAAGAAGGGCAAAAACCACATGATCATCTCCATAGATGCTGAAAAAGCATTCAATAAAATTCAACATACATTCATGAAAAAAACTCTCAACAAAATGGGAATAGAGGGCAAGTGCCTCAACATAATAAAGGCCATATATGACAAATCCACAACCAGCATCATACTGAACAGCGAGAAGCTGAAAGCATTTCCTCTAAGATTGGGAACAAGGCAAGGATGCCCACTGTCCCCACTGTTATTCAACATAGTACTGGGGGTCTTAGGCATGGCAATTAGACAAAACAAAGAAAGATAAGGCATCCAGATTGGTAAAGAAGAAGTCAAACAGTCACTATTTGCAGATGACATGATATTGTACATAAAAAACCCTAAAGACTCCACTCCAAAACTACTAAAACTAATATCGGAATTCAGCAAAGTTGCAGGACACAAAATTAATACATAGAAATCAGTGGCTTTCCTATACACTAACAATGAACTAACAGAAAGAGAAATCAGGGAAACAATTCCATTCACAAGTGCATCAAAAAGAATAAAATACCTAGGAATAAACCTAACAAAGGAAGTGAAAGACCTATACCCTGAAAACTACAAGACACTCTTAGGAGAAATTAAAGAGTACACTAACAAATGGAAACTCATCCCATGCTCTTGGCTAGGAAGAATTAATATCGTCAAAATGGCCATCCTGCCCAAAGCAATCTACAGATTCAGTGCAATCCCTATCAAATTACCAACAGCATTCTTCAATGAACTGGGACAAACAGTTCAAAAATTCATATGGAAGTAGCAAAGACCCCCAAGAGCCAAAGCAATCCTAAGAAGGAAGAATAAAGTGGGGGGGATCTCACTCCCCAACTTCAAGCTCTACTACAAAGCCACAGTAATCCAGACAATTTGGTACTGGCACAAGAACAGACCCACAGACCAGTGGAACAGAACAGAGACTCTAGACATTAACCCAAACATATATGGTTAATTAGATTATGATAAAGGAGCCATGGACATACAATGGGGAAATGACAGCTTCTTCAACAGTTGGTGTTGGCAAAACTGGACAGCTACATGTAAGAGAATGAAACTGGATCATTGTCTAACCCCATACTCAAAAGTAAATTCGAAATGGATCAAAGACCTGAATGTAAGTCATGAAACCATAAAACTCTTGGAAAAAAAATTGGCAAAAATCTCTTGGACATAAACATGAGTGACTACTTTATGAACGTATGTCCCCGGGCAAGGGAAACAAAAGCAAAAATGAACAAGTGGGACTGTATCAAGCTGAAAAGCTTCTGTACAGCAAAGGACACTATCAATAGAACAAAAAGGCATCCTACAGTATGGGAGAATATATTCATAAACTACAGATCCGATAAAGGGTTGACATCCAAACTATATAAGGAGCTCATGCACGTCAACAAAAAAAAAAGCAAATAATCCACTTAAAAAATGGTCAGAGGATCTGAACAGACAGTTCTCCAAAGAAGAAATTCAGATGGCCAAGAGACACATGAAAAGATGCTCCACATCGCTAGTTATCGGAGAAATGCAAATTAAAACCACAATGAGATATCACCTCACACCAGTATGGATGGCCAACATCCAAAAGACAAACAACAACAAATGTTGGCAAGGTTGTGGAGAACAGGGAACCCTCCTACATTGCTCGTGGGAATGTAAATTAGTTCAACCACTGTGGAAAGCAGTATGGAGGTTCCTCTAAAAGTTCAAAAGAGAAATACCATTTGACCCAGGAATTCCACTCCTAGGAATTTACCCTAAGAATACAGCAGCCAAGTTTGAAAAGACAGATGCACCCCTATGTTTATTGCAGCACTATTTACAATAGCCAAGAAATGGAAGCAACCTAAGTGTCCATCAGTAGATGAATGGATAAAGAAGATGTGTACATACACAAAATGGAATATTATTCAGACATAAGAACAAAAGAAATCCTACCATTTGCAACAACATGGATGGAGCTAGAGGGTATTATGCTCAGTGAAATAAGCCAGGCAGAGAAAGACAAGTACCAAATGATTTTACTCATCTGTGGAGTATAAGAACAAAGAAAAAACTGAAGGAACAAAACAGCAGCAGAATCACAGAACCCAAGAATGGACTAACAGTTACCAAAGGGAAAGGGACTGGGGAGGGTGGGTGGGAAGGGAGGTATAACGCGGGGTGGGTGAGGAAAGAGGGCATTAAGATTAGCATGTATAATGTGGGGGGGAGCATGGGGAGCTGTGCAACACAGAGAAGACAAGTAGTGATTGTACAGCATGTTACTACACTGATGGATAGTGACTGTAGTGGGGTTTATGGGGGGGACTTGGTGAAGGGGAGAGCCTAGTAAACATAATGTTCCTCATGTAATTGTAGATTAATGATACCAAAATTCAAAAAAAAAAACTATTTAGCTTCAGGTCACATGCAACTTTCAAATCATTTACATGGTGTAATAAGATTAAAGTACATATTATATTAGTAATATGAACTATGAAAAAGTATTGTTGAAATATGTATTTGAGATAATATATAAAAAAATAGAAGTCATACATGAATTACAATTAAGTAAAAATACATATTTATATTTTTTAAAAAGTAGAAGTAAATTTGGAATGGAATTATGTAAATGGAACATTGTTGAAATATTCCTAAAGAAATTAATCTAAATATATACATTTAAATGAATCTTGTCTATTTTATAATTGACTTTAAGATCTATTTTTTTCAAAGATGTTGTTACATCACTAGCTTAATATATTTTTGGAATTTCTCTTGTAAAATGGTCTTCAGAGCCCATTTGGTAAATTTTGAAGAAAATCAGACTCTAGTCAGTTTAAATTTTATTTTATTTTTGAAATTTTGTTTTTATTATTATAATTATTACTAACCAAAACAAAAACAGGTCTTTCTAAGTTGAGCACCCACTTTATCCACTAACTTGAATGTCAAATAGCTTTTTATTGTTTCTGTAACTGCTATTTGCCCTTGAAGGATAAAGATTTGCCATTATTGAAAAAGGAACATGCCACAGACACTGATGCCAGTTTCAAAATACATTAAATATTAGCAGAATCACAAGGTTAGATGGTTTTCTAAAATAAAAACCTTGAAGACAACATCATCCATTGGATGGATAAGTGGCAGTATTTTGCTTTGCAAATTAGATACGTTATTTTCTAATATGCTTCCTGAACATCTTTCTGATGGTCAAACTCAGAAACAGAAAATAGACTAGTGGCTGCTAGGGGTGGAGGGAAGGGAAATGGAGAGTTGTTGTTTAATGGAGATTGGCTGCACAACAATACGAATATAGCTAACACTACTGAACTGTGCACTAAAATATGGTTAGGATGGTTATTTTACGTCATGTGTATTTTATCACAATTAATTTTTTTAAATTTAAAAATTAGGTTAGATTAAATTTATTTCCTATATAATAACAAAGTAGATAATAAGTTTGTAAGAACATAAATGGTTATGAAAAAATACATCAGTTATTAGTATTTTGTTTCGCCATGTGGGAATTATAGTTACACAGATGAAATAATGTGATGTCCTTCAAATTCAAGATGTAATTCTCATCTTCCTTCACCACCCAGTTCCCTTTTCTGGAGGTAAACACTGTTAGTGCTTCCCAGATACCCTGGCCAGAGGTACTAGGTGTATATGCACCTTAAGTAGCAACTTTTATCCTTTGTTTCTAACATAAAGAAAAGCACAGAGAACTCCATGTTCCTTTTTTCACTTATATATTGGAATTCATTCTGTATGAACTGTGAGAAATATTTTGAGTTGTTTATTCCACAATATGACAGACTGGCCTAATAGACTGCATTTTATTTACTGATGCCTCTAATAATTCACGTCATACACAGTTGGCTATGATCACACATAAGGAATAGAATTTTCTGCTTGTTAAAATTAAACTGCCTCTTCTGAGGCCAATTGACTTTAATTACATGCTAAAACTAAATGACTTAGCTGATTCAGAAAAAAAATTTTACCTTAAAAGTAGCAAAGGCGTCTGAAGCAATATCAAATGTTGACAACTCCACATACTTAAAGAAATCTCTGAATTGACTAGAAAAGAGGACTATTTTGGCAAGTGGTTCATGTCGAATACATTCTCTCAGCATAATCCCACAACGTAAGGCAATCTGTGGAGCTTCATATCTAAAGCATAAACAAGAGAGAAATAGAAAACTGTTATCTTATTAATAAAATTATATTAATGGTATCAAAAGAATCATTTCAAACAGCTGTTAATGGAAGCAGAGATAGCATTTGTCACAGTTCATTCATATGTTATTCATTCAACACCCACTGGATATTTATGATGTGCCTGGCACTATTCCAAATGCTAGGGATACGACAGTATGCACAACAGGGTCACTACCCTCCTAGACTTCATGTTGTAGTAAGAGTATGTGTCATAGGGGAAGAGGCAGACTATTAAAAATGAAAAGATAATTTCATATTCTGAGAACTGTTCTGAAACTAAAGCCAATAAAATAGGGATACTATAGAGTATGACTGCTAATGTACTTTACTTTAGATTGAGTAGTGAGGGAAGGGGCAAAGTGTTCAAAGCAAAGGGAACAAACTGTGAGATGACCCCAAGTCAAGAACCAGCTTGATAGGTTAGGGAAGTAAGGCAAGAGTGGTTGGAATGCAGGGAGAAGAGTAGTGAATGGTGTGAAATGAGGCCCAGGTGGGCAGAGGGGTAGGAACCAGATCATATACAGCTACACAAGCCAAGGTAAGGAGCTTGGTTTTTAAGTGCGGTAAGAAATCTTTAGAGAGTTTTAAAGCAAAAAATTAACATGGCACAATGTATGTTTTAAAAAGATCACTCTGGCTACCTGTGCAGAATATTTTATAAAACAGAGAAGAGTGAGTTGGGGAGCTAGAGTGGAAGCAGGGGGACTAGGCAGGAGGAGGAGCAAAAACCCAGCTAGAGATGATGGTGGCTTGGACCAAGGGCAGGAGGCTGTGCGCACACTGTGCGCAGGGTTTAGAGGGAAAGTCAACAGGACTTGCTGACATGGTAGCCAGGGCAGGGTGAGGAGTAAATTCGGGATGAGAGAAACTGAGGATTCAAGAATGATTCCTGTATTTTTGGCTTGAATAATTGGGTAGTTGGTAATGCTGTTTATGAAGATGAATAAACCAGTAGAAGAATAGGTCAGTGAAAAAATTAAAATTTGCTTTTGACCAAGTTCACTTTGAGATGCCTGATATCTAAGTAGATATCTTCTTGGCTGTAAAAATAAAAACCATCTGGAGTTCAGGAAAAAGATACATACATACATATATATGATCTACATATAATAGATGACAAATAATAAATAGCTATGGATTGGATTGACTGACCCACTGAAATCATGAAGTAGAAATACAGCTCACAGCAGAAACTACACTAGAAAAACGTAGTATCTACTATAGAATACAACTCAGGACTGGCACAGTAGATCTGTTCCATTTCTTACTTAATAACAATGTCTCAAGTATCAAACTCAACACTGAAATAAATCTAGGTTTCAGGTACATTGTAGTGTATGATAAAGTTTCAAGAAAATGAACAAAACTTAGCCGAAGCAAAACAAGTCCAGCACTGAAATGATACAGTTGACAACTGTGTGGTAAATACTGGAAGAATACAACAAAGGAACATAGAGTTGTAAAAGAATGGGAAGAGAGTAGAGTATAAGGTTAAAAAAAACCTTATATCATTTAACATTCCAATTAATTACTAGATTTTATGGTTCTAAGTACAAAGTTCGCTGTTGGGAAAAAAGCTTCAATTATCTCAATTCTTGAAAGAGTGTTTTCCTATATCAAGAATAGGAGAAAAATGACATCCACAAAAGGCCTATGTAATCTTTCAAATTTACCATGAATTCTGGAAGTTAAAAAAATTCCAATAAAAATATTTTTGAAGGGTAAAAAGAACACTGAATAGATGAGAATTGAACTGAACAGGTGAGAAAACTAAACAGATGAGAAAAATCAAACATCTGAAAACCCAAACCAAACCACCCTTACATGAAACTTCAAGATATTACTCACCAAATACAAATGTTAACATTCTGTTGAACAGTGAAGAATGCACTAATCTTTATAATATCTACAGGAAATTCAGATTCAAGAAAAAAATCTCTTTCCCAGAATGTGCTACTTTAGGAAATATGCTATTTTGCAATATCAAATTTGTAAATACAGTAGGGGAAATGGCAAACAAGGATTTTTGAAAGAATTCATTAAGCCAAATTTGTATTTATTCATTTCTGTCCTGTTACATGCTGAATAATATTTATGAATATCATTTGAGTATTCCCTGAATAACTCATTTGAACATTAAATGGTAATATATTCAGATAGGCATGGTTATTTGCAAAACACTGAAAAATACCAATTATAGTGTTAACAATTTCTCCTATCAAAAGAATTTGAAAATTGGCCCTCTGTTACACACGGAAGAGGTATATAGAAGGGGAAATATTCACGATGTTATAGAAAGGGGTATATTTTCTGAAATGGGAAGTATAAAAACACTGTCATTTATTAATAGAGTACCTTTGAAACTACACTAGAAAAACGTAGTATCTACTATAGAATACAACTCAGGACTGGCACAGTAGATCTGTTCCATTTCTTACTTAATAACAATGTCTCAAGTATCAAACTCAACACTGAAATAAATCTAGGTTTCAGGTACATTGTAGTGTATGATAAAGTTTCAAGAAAATGAACAAAACTTAGCCGAAGCAAAACAAGTCCAGCACTGAAATGATACAGTTGACAACTGTGTGGTAAATACTGGAAGAATACAACAAAGGAACATAGAGTTGTAAAAGAATGGGAAGAGAGTAGAGTATAAGGTTAAAAAAAACCTTATATCATTTAACATTCCAATTAATTACTAGATTTTATGGTTCTAAGTACAAAGTTCGCTGTTGGGAAAAAAGCTTCAATTATCTCAATTCTTGAAAGAGTGTTTTCCTATATCAAGAATAGGAGAAAAATGACATCCACAAAAGGCCTATGTAATCTTTCAAATTTACCATGAATTCTGGAAGTTAAAAAAATTCCAATAAAAATATTTTTGAAGGGTAAAAAGAACACTGAATAGATGAGAATTGAACTGAACAGGTGAGAAAACTAAACAGATGAGAAAAATCAAACATCTGAAAACCCAAACCAAACCACCCTTACATGAAACTTCAAGATATTACTCACCAAATACAAATGTTAACATTCTGTTGAACAGTGAAGAATGCACTAATCTTTATAATATCTACAGGAAATTCAGATTCAAGAAAAAAATCTCTTTCCCAGAATGTGCTACTTTAGGAAATATGCTATTTTGCAATATCAAATTTGTAAATACAGTAGGGGAAATGGCAAACAAGGATTTTTGAAAGAATTCATTAAGCCAAATTTGTATTTATTCATTTCTGTCCTGTTACATGCTGAATAATATTTATGAATATCATTTGAGTATTCCCTGAATAACTCATTTGAACATTAAATGGTAATATATTCAGATAGGCATGGTTATTTGCAAAACACTGAAAAATACCAATTATAGTGTTAACAATTTCTCCTATCAAAAGAATTTGAAAATTGGCCCTCTGTTACACACGGAAGAGGTATATAGAAGGGGAAATATTCACGATGTTATAGAAAGGGGTATATTTTCTGAAATGGGAAGTATAAAAACACTGTCATTTATTAATAGAGTACCTTAGAGAATATAAAATAAAGACTGCTTAGAGAAGGAACTTAAGGGACAGACAATAAAATCCACAATCATTAGTAAGATATTATGGACTTTTATAATTTGGCCTTAAACTTAACTTTTTAAATTTCATCTCCCATCACATTACCTAATTCTTTAGAGTATGCCATTCTCTTAACCTAGAGTACCTTTGTCCTTATATTTCCATCTCTAAGATCCTCTCTCATCTTTCAGGCTGAGTTCAAATGCCACCTGCTCTTTGAAGTCTTTTTGTAACTACCTAACATTCAGAAATATTCTCTCCCTCCTTCATATTCTTACAACAGCTTGTCTGTAATTACACTTTGGCATTTTCTTCATTCTATATTATGTTACATTGCAAAAAGTTGTTTTATCTGTTTTCTTTCCTTTATTTCAAACAACATTATTGGGGCTAGGTTTTACTTATCTTATTGTTTTCCCCTTTTCTCTACCCCCACCTCCATTTGGTTCTATATCTTGTTGTCTTTCCTCACTCCCACCCCATTTTCCAAAGAGTGCCTAGCAAAATGCTTCTCACAAAGTAGACATATAACGAATTTAATGAATTTCAAATGCTACCTAAAATTCTTAATACTAGAGGACCTTAATGAGACCCAATCTGGCTTACACAAAGAAAACTGCATGATCTCTAGCCACCACTCTCTCATTTCATAATTAAATTTCCAAACTGAAACTATCTATAAAAAGTTTGGACTCCAACTTTTGTGTATAATTACTTCCCTTTTTTGTTACATTTGTTGAAGTTTATTGGAACCATTTGTGCTACACTATTTATTTTTGAGAACCAAGAAAACTAAAAAAAAAAAAAAAACAGAATCAAGAGAATTTTAAAAAATACTCCTTTGGTTCAGAAAACTTGTTATTCCATCCCAAAAATCTGTGCACAAGAGAGGAAATGTCCTTCTCTGAGATGACAACTTCTTAAAGTTAGAAATACACTGGGATATATGGGTAAATTCCTAACTTCCCTCAGTACCCTTTATGGATTTGTAATTCACATATATAATTTCAACCCACTACCCTCTAGGATATTGGCTTTTTTTTTTGTCAACAGAAGCCTCATTTTATTTATGCATTTTTTAAATTTCAGGGACCACTAAATTTTCTTTTTAATTTTGGTATCATTAATATAAAATCACATGAGCAACATTGTGGTAACTATATTACCACCATTATCAAGTCCCCACCACATACCCAATTACAGTCACTGTCCATCTGCGTAGTAAGATGCTGTAGAATCACTACTTGTCTTATCTGTGCTGCACAGCCCTCCCATTCCCCCCCACATTATACACGCTAATCATAATGGCCCCTTTTTCCCTGCCCCCCCATCCCTCCCTTTCCACCCATCCTCACCAGTCCCTTTCCCTTTGGTAACTGTTAGTCCATT